GGTATTTAGAAATGAAGCGTTTACTAATTGCTAAAATTTACATTGCACATATGAAATTTTAAATTAAATTTTATAACAAAATCAGATAATATATATACGTACTCCGAAATATTCTCAAATTTCAATTTTAATATCAAAATACACATTCAAAATAGCACGTGCGTAAATAATGAATTTTAACTTCTTGAATTTTACAAATCTAGCATTCTCATGGGAACGAAGTACAACAAACTCGAGATCGACTTCGGGGATACTATGTTATAAGATACAACTTATACTTACATAATTTATAAAATTTGCCAAGGATCTTTAAAAAATATAATTTCAAACATAATTTCGCAAAGAAAAACGAATTTTGCTACGTATGTAAAGAGGGATTGACCCTCAATTACTATGGTGGTGTCAAATCTAGGTGTTCCTGTATATGTGTATGTGTGTGTAATTTTGGTAAAGAATTTTATAAAATATATATATAAAAATGTTAGCTGTCGACTGTCTTCTGTAATGTTAGGATTTTTAGACATATCTACTCATAGATAACGAGAGACTATTTTATTAAAGAAAAGAAAAAAATAAAATAAAGCTAAACAAAAATACTACATATCAACTTGTTATCATGAAATGCAACGTCCTTATTAGAGTTGACTCCACCATGGAATCGAATACATCATCTGTTTAAGTCATTAGTTGAAGATTAAAAATGTACGTATACATAGATGTTTTTAGTGAATAAGAACTGATCAAACTTAACGTTTCATATCGATACAACGTGATCAACAATTTTTTCTCATCAATAATGCGGGTACGAACTCAACTGTTCGGCACGAACATGATAATTCAATCTGCAGGATCAAGAGTTCATTGTATAGAGACACTTGTATAGAGACTTGAACGTATATAAAACTTAATTTTTGATTTGTATTTAAAAAAAGTCCTTTTCGTTCTTAGGTGTTGGTAATAATTCAAGAATCGCGTATTGCATCGGTCAAATATAATAACATACAGATACGTCCTCTCTCAAACGTAGATCCGGCATTTCATAACGATTAATAAACGTTCGATCAATCTTCGCTAATAAAATATCACCCGTTGAATCAATTCCGACGCACTGACCGTACCAGTCCTCTTGTACGTTAACTCTTTTTCTCCCCTTTCTTTAGTGGATGTAACAATTAAAAGTTCTCATCGTAAGCGCTGACGCTGCTGTCTAACAAATTTTGCGGACCAAAGACAATTTTATAATTACGCTTTAACGTATATTGAGCACAGCGAACTAGTTTTGTGCGCTTCAACGCTCACGGTGATGATCTAATATTGAACTGATATTCTTAATCTTAAAACGACACTTGGAGCTTCTGCCTCTCTCCTTATTCGCTACAAGTATAAAAAGTTGATAAGCTTCAAAAATATCATCACCGTTGTCATCAATTACCGCAAATTAGGTATGTATATGTGTATGTATGTAAAAGGAGTTTTGAAAATATAATACACGGCGTGCTGGAAGCTGCCGAATGCGCAAACGCTTTAATGTCCAAGATGAAATGACTCCTCTTTGTCTCTCGCTTTCGTACAATGGCATTTCGTCGAAACACTCTCTAAGGATTATCGTTGGAATATAATAAGAAATCGTATAAATAGAGAGATCACGGGAAAAATAGAGTAACTTTGTCCGAATGTGTTATCAAACCTACGAAATACATACTCGATGTTGCACGTGTTTCGAATCACCGAGCGAACGGATCTCGCGCAGTTCCCCGTGTTATGATAAATTCGATCCTTCAGATTTGCGAGGACGCAACGCTCTCGAAATGGACGAGGACTTTCATCGATCGTTATCCGTCGGCGATTCTTATCCGCGAAGATAGAAGAAATTCTACGTCGTACATGTAACATATTGTCATGCGTGAGGAAACGCCGCGCTGTTCTCGACGACGGTGAGACAGCGACCACGTTTTCGAGAGCCCCTCCGCGAGATGCACCGCAGCTGTGTTTCACGCTTCTGACCCTTCTAAAGATTGGTGCTCTCCTGTTCCAACTTAGGCCGTATGGTGGGTGGCGGCGGCGGTGGTGGCTGTGGCCGCGGCGGTCGCTGATGGAATCTCGGCGAAGCCGGTACGTTCTGCTGCGGCGACCTGACAACCACTCTCGCGTCAGTCTGGGTTTGGACGTCGATAATGTTGCCTTCCGATCTGGTGCGCGTGTGAGCTTTCGCTTGCTCGATGTACGGCACCTGACCCGACTGCTCCGCTGGCCTCGTGGCCTTCTCCTCGCGGCGTTCGGTGCCGTACAGAGATATAGAGGACGGCCGGCTACCCACGCTTGGGCTTCTCTGCAAGTTCGAAGTTGCCGTGTTGCCAGTGCTCTCGCCCGGTGTGGACAGCGCATTGCTATTGTTCCCACGCACTTGTATTATACTGACCTGCTGTTTGTCCACGGAGTATACGTGAGCTCGTTCCAGCGTTAAAGGCTGCGAACGGTTTAACGAGAAATTAGTTTGGTATGGATTAACGACCAGCAAGAGACGAGCGTGTGTAACGGAGAGAGTACTACACGAATAGCGGCAAGTGTAACGCGCGTGAAGAAGCTTTGTCGGACTGTAGGTGCGTTCGGGGAGCACGCTATCAACGCTACCGCGTTCTTCTATCTTTATCGCTCCTTAGATATACAAGTATAGAATAACACGATAGTGCTAAATAGCGCTAATAGCGAGCTCCCCGAACGCACTTTGTGTGGTTAGTTTTCTTTTCCTTTCTTTTTAAGTCGTGATGTAGCTTACGTAATTATTCAAAATGCAATATCCAGGCAGTGTTATTTGTCGTCCACTTGAAGTAACTATACGCTTATCATAAAGGATTATAAATCAACAACGTTCTCGCAGTTTTAAGTTCTCTCTACTCACCCCTGGATCGGTTTCTAGATTTTCGTTACTGTGACGTGGATGTTGTCTGATGAGGCTCGATGGACGAATCAAACAAGCTGGCCGCTCGGGAATCGCCGGTTTGCTGCTTCTGTCACCCAATAACTGTACATTTGGCGCGTTATTGTCAGACTTTTTGCGTAATTCGACTCCGTCTTCTGTAACGAGAGAAATCAAGTTGGATATAAGTCAAACGTAAGTATCGTCGCTAAAACAATCAATGAAAACAGTCACACGGAACGATATTAGAAGAAGGAAACTGTTACCTGCTGTATGCGTGATATTTGTTATACTTCTAGGTGCTGCTATTGGTCTTCTCCTCTCCAATGTGGATGGCTTTTCCGTAGGCACTGGTTTTGGCTTTTGTACCGTACTTTCGTTATGCTCGACTTCCACAATCGATTTCGTGATATTGTCGGACGAGACTCCACTTGGCTTCTCCTTTGTGCTCGGTGCATTTATTTTCGCGTCGTATCTCTGTAATTCCGAGATGCTTTTCTCTACATCGCTTAAATTGAACACTTCGCTTTGGTGAGTACTGGTTTCCTGCGGTCGTTCAGGATTGTCCGCAGGATAAAGGTCCATCGATATCGATTCCGATAACGACTGCTTCGCGTCCGTCTCTGCGTGCTTCTCGTGCCGATCCGCCGTGTCCTCGTGTCCACGCGTTGATTCGGCGTTCATCTCATACTTGTGAGCTTTATGCGTTGTCCGAGTCAACGTAGCCAATGCTAAGGCTCTCGGCGGCTTGTCTGGCGTCGGAGGCGGTTGTTTGTCATCGCATCTCCTCTCGTGCTTGTCCGGAGTGTTGCCACTCGGCGGCGTCGGCGCTGGCTTATTCTTCCGACGTGCCGCCGGTTTCGGGCTACCTTGAGGCGGGCTCTCGCCGTGATCGCTGAGACTAGTATTAGACATGCAACGGCGCATACCGACAGTCTGATTCTCCGAATCGCTCACGATGCCCACTTCCAGGTCGCGATCGAAATCCATCTCACCCGGGAAGAACCAGTCCGCGTATGTAATTAATTGGTCTACTATAAGACTAGAGTTGTTTGCTGTACTCATGTTCATCCTGTGGCAATATAGAGAAAACGCAAGTACATTATTACAGAATAGAATAGGTAAACAGGTCGGTGAAGTTACCCGAGAAATTGCTTTCATAATCTTCAATATTTTAGGCAAGATTGCTTACACTATTGTATTTGCATCCTCTTGCGGACTCCAAATTAAGTTTGGGGCAATGACAATAGCGATATTCTGTGGTGACATCTTATTTACATCCTGATTCTTCGTGAGCACAGCCAGAAATTTAATTAGGAACCGCAGATTTTCCAAATTCGCCGGTGGCAATTTATGCAGCACTTCCCAGAGAGCTCGTAACCGCGCGTCACTGTGCGCAAGTTTTGCAGCAGCCATCCATTCGGGATACAACCTGGATAATCACGTTACATATGGTAAAATATGGGTTATGTTCGCTTTAGACGCTTTCGTGCTGCGAACATTGTTCTATCTTGTCTCGATATGCAACAAACAACAGAGATAGAATGATATTATCAGCGCGAAAGCATCCAAAACGAACGCAGCTATGGTTACATGCAGAAAATATACGGTGACAATATCACGATAGCACAATTATCGATCTCACGAATAATCGACACTCACTTGTACGTCAGTAGAGGCTCTGGCAATTCTCGTAAGTATGATTTTAGCGCCCCAGCGATTACGTGCGGATCTTTATATTCTAGGGCCCTCGGCAACGTGAGGCAGCAGGCGTCTAAACTTAATTTGATCCGTCGCGACTTCGACGCGGCACCTGCTATTCTAAAAAGGCCCTCCTCTTCCATGCCCAAACGCAATAGCACGGACACGCATAACTGTATGGGTAATGCGATTTTTCGGTTCGTTACCCTAAGATGTTCCTCGAGAGGATATCCGTATACTGGCTTCATTTCGTTATCATCTGCAACCGATCGTTGTATGATTTTCTCTCACTCTTGGATTTAATTCGCCAACGACTATATCGACAACAAGCACTTTCGCGATGGTACCCATACACTTGAAATAAAAACTCACTAATATAGCTTTCTAATCCAGGTATAAGGTCCTCGAGGCAATGCAGTGCACTTTCATGGTAAGCTCGTTGAAGTTTCACATACTGAATAATCGTCTGTGCCAGTTCCGTTTCGCGCGACATGAGTTGGAACATCTCCGCGGCCAATTGATCTCTACATTGCTCAACTTTTGATTCAGCCTCTTCTAATTCCTCTCTCAAGTTATCTACTTTTGTTGCGCCTGCACCTGTGTACACAATAAAGTGTTGGTCGAATGATTCAGGAGAATATCTATATAAATGTGTTTATTAAGAAATTAAGCAGTAAACTTCGATGATTACCGGCACTGTGTTTACTCGCTTGAAGATATCTCGTTCTGGCACTGTCCATGTCTAACGTAAGACGCGCTAAATTTCTCTTATGCTTCAATATATTTGGTACATCGGTATCTAAAATGTGTTGCAATGGAGCAGCTACATACTGTTCGACTTTCGCTTCGTGCTCCACAGTTTCGTTAGCCAATGACATTTGTGCTCTCCCACACTCTAACAATGCAAAACTCATGAGACCGTCCTCACCAGCATTTTCCAACATGGTTTGCCCAAGTATATACTCGTAGCACTTTTTCTAAAAGAATGAGAATTCAACATAACTACATAATAACAATTACTTGATAAATATCTCTTAAAAGTAGCGTCCTTCTTCACAAGTCAACTTTCCATTTGTGCAGTAAGGGAAGCAATGCTTGTCTCAATAATAAAGAGAGACAGAAAAAACAAAAAGAGTTATTAAATATATGCCTCAATATTTTATATTATCATTACGACAAGTACAATATAAATAAGATTTACCAAACGTTTCTCCTTGAAAGCATCCTGTGTGACTGTTTGATTCGGTGGATTCCCAAGTCTCTTACTGAGACCAGTGAGAGCTGCTCTGATTTGTTCGACATGTTTATCAGCAGCTTGCAGATCATCCGTCAGCACTTCCGTTTTCCCCGCTCTGTTTGCAGACAAAAAAGACATTTTACTCAGATATTACTTATCTAGTTGCAATGGAATCTTATCTTTTACAATCTATATTTTATCTCCTAATCTAACTGTCACATAACCAATGTATAAATATTGAGCTGATATTAAATGAAGATTGCACAAAGTATAAGATTGAATAAAAAAGGAATATATCTGAGGAGGACTTATGCCCAATATGTATTGGGCAAGATAACTATGCGATAAATGACTGACTACCTGGAGAAGGTCTGATCGGCGAGCTGCTTGACCCGGAAAAACTGCTTCTTCATGACTGGTTGATAATGTCGACAGCGCGAGTGAAATCCCAGCCGAGTGTCGTACCCGTTCACAACTTTACGCATCGATGCCCTTCGACTTGGCGCATTTACGCACGTGTATCCTCCGCGGGTCCTTCGCCGTCGCGCGGCACCAGAGTTACGCGGGAGAGAAGGAAGGATGGATCCTTCGTGTCGCGGCGAGGGCGAACGTCCGTCATAATGTTTGTACAATGATCTCACAGCTCACGCAAACGGGCAGGTTCGTGGCCGAGCTATTTTCGCACACCATCGATAAGGTCCAGCGATAAAGAGACGGAATCGGCGTTCCTCACCGCGGATTTGGGTTAGGTCAGTCCAACTTTGCACTTTGTAGTCTGCCTGCCAGTCGCTCGGTCTCACTCTAGATTACGATCTCGACCGCGATACAGACAACAAGGGGAAAATCCGTTTAACCAAGATTCCAAACGCCCGGCGACGTAGCGGCATCGACACCACTGTTGGTTAGGGCACCGTCGACTCACATCACACGATCGGCCGAGTTATTCAAGTGCACGACGCCTAGTCCTTCATTGTCCTCTCCTCTCGTCGTGGAGCACAGGAAATAACGATACCCGCGAATTATTCGGCCGCGTTCTACGGATAACGCGATCGGCCCGAAGCTCGCCGCGCTAGGTACGCGCCTCTCTGCACTTCCACCCGCCAAGTCGCACGACATTCAACGGTGCGCTGTTTTCACTTTCCACGGGGGTCTCCCTGCAGACGACTTCCCCGATAACGCAACGGCACGGAGACAGCGAACCCGTCAAACTCGCGTGCGTGAAATCGCACGCCTCTAACCCAATCTCTTTACCCTTGAGACTCGCCCAAGATCGATGGATCGCTCGCGCCTATCGCGTTTGTCTCGTCGACCGAGTCGCGATGTGCAGGTTCGTCATCGCGGCTGCACCGTCTGTGCGCCGTCAATTTACTCGCTCTTTCCTCCCGACTACTCGAGCATATCCCTGTTTCATTCAAGGTGCACAAAGTGCAGAGAGGTGCGGCTACGACGGGCGGAAGTTGCGCGATCGAACCTTGAATCGCACAAAGTTTATCGCGCGCGATATATCGTCTCTTATTGCACCGTTTATCAACGCATTCAGTGTCGTGCTTCATGACTCGTTGCTTGCAAGGTTGGCTTTACTCCAAATTCACGGCTAAGGAGCGTCGTTCGTGTTGTTTTTTGTAGAATATCCCGCGATCACTGATTGACCTTTCCCACTATCGATTTCCTCACCGATTCGTCATCATTTCTTCCTCGACGAAAATAATAAACATCACTCTGCAACTCTAACCTTTCTTTAGTCGTTTCATGACAGTCTTTGTTACAAGTGTACACACATTAATACTCATCAGTGTTGAATGTCGACAAGATACCTTCAGCGAATGCTGATGAGACACTCCTCGATTATTCGCGCTTTATTTTATTTTTTGTTTTTTAAGGTTTAACGACTTTGTCATAATGTCTCCTCTGTAAGATGGTTTTTTTTTCCAAACGTGTCAATCTTTTTGGCTCTTCCTATTCTTAATTAACCATTTTCTATGTTCTCTACAAATCTTTCTTTCCCCTCTCTCTCCTTTCCTGATTTCATACGGATGACATCATCCAAAGAGAACAATTTATAGGTTAAACCGCTCATTCTTCTTCCAATAAATAGCCAAAAAGTTATTGCTTATTTTTTTTTTTTCTTAAGAATTCCTGAACTGATATAATAAATTGAAGCGAGAGACAAAATATTCCGCTCTAACTTATTGCATCAGTTGAGAGAGTTCTCTGAAAAAGACGTACGTTTCCAACGAGCACGCAGATTGAGGTTATATCGAGGTTTACTGGAACATCTCGGCGACACACGAAGTTAGCTATGATCTTCGAACGACGCGCGCAACAATGGCGGCGACGCTCGACGATCGATGGATCGATCGCTCGCTTGCTCGCTATCTCTCGAAGTCGCGTGACTCGCCGGCAACTTCACGGCCTGCTCGACTTCTTTTTTTAGAGAGGCGGCGCTCCGAAGCCAGTTATGTAGCAGTGCGCTCGCGGCTTTTCACCTTCGCCCATGCGGCAACCATCTGTCAACGGCGGCGAACACTTGCGCGAATAATCCGGCATCGTGAAACGCGCGCGAAACGCGAATCGCATCCGAGGACATTCCTCTATTCCATCTGTACACGGCGAGCACGTGAAATCACTCCGCCACCATGATCGTCGACCGGGCCTTTTTGAACGTGATGATCCTCAGCTGGGGGTTCATGCTGGTGTTCACGGCCTTTCAAACGATGGGCAATATAGAGGTGAGTGACGCGAAACGACGAGGCGCATGTGCTTATGTTGTTATTATTTGCGTTGCAATCGCTTCCGCATTCTCTTCGCGACGCGGCACGCGCCTGTCATGGAACCTAACGCAGCCAACTGAATTTAGCGCAACGGCTAGAGAAATGCCGGAAGCATCATTTCGAAATCGAAGTTTCGCCCGAACTGAAGATACGCGTACGCGCCGTTCTCTTAAGCACCTGAAAAGTCGATTGACTTTACGAAGAGTGTTTGCATAGAGTCGTTTGTTTATTGTTTTAATTTTTTATATCATACCACGTGCACACTAAGAAAAAAACTTGAGAATTTAATTATAAAATAAAAAATTAATTCATTTACGGGATGTAACATACATTACTCACAGGAGCAAACTTTATTCGACAGAAGTGAGCTTTATTTTATTGATAAATTTTCAAATATTTTTTCCCGGTTTATGCGAGGTAGTCCTTTCCTAAAACGAACGAATCATTCATACAACTGCGTTTGTTTTGCAAAACTGCTGACTGTTGTCAGTAGAGAAATGTAAACATGCGTTTGTTTTACATCGATATAATCATTTGATGATAGTCGCAGAACGGGTCTTTGACATCCTTCAAGAGTTTGCAAGTGTGCGCAGCAATTTTGTTAATGTCAATTTTGAATACTGTCAATTTTGAATATCAAGCCGCGTGACTAATGATCCGAGAGAGAGTAACTTTGTGAACAAAAATATGACGCACGGTCACAATATGCATCTGTGCGTTTTATCGCGCACTTACGCGACCCGAACGATTTTAATGCGAAGCAATTTATTTATAACGTAATCGTTCGCCGACGCAAGCACTGACGGATTAACAGTATGATTGGATAATACACAGTGATCAAGATTTTTCTCTCTTAGAGTGTCTGAAGCACGTAGAGCGGAACTTCTATTTAGGCGTTCAAGCGCGAGAGATTTATTCGAATCGCTCTCACGTTCTCGCGTTTACACGGGCTTTAGTCGGGCGAGCGGAAATGTAGTTTTTCACTACGTAAGCGATAACCAGAGTGCTCTCATCTGAGAGATTTTCACTTAAAAATTCGATCCCGGATGCATCCGCAGAATTTTTTTAACTGTGGCGAGTGTTTGTCCGCTTTTCCAAACGTAGTCATTCAAAGTCGAATTCCACTCTTTAACTTTTATTTTTTCTGCATCCTCATCTACGATATATTTAATCTCCTTGTTGATTGATCTAATTGTTTCCATGACTAACGACATTTTCCTTACAACAAAGTTTATTTACTTCTACGCATTTCTCCGATCGCAATTAATTTTCTAGAGTCAACCTTCGATGTGAAATTTCATTGAGGCATATTCTCGCATCGTATTCGATTTTGACATAAAGCGCTTCGGCAATCGAATCCGATGTGCAAATTTGATCGAAATAAATTCTACTTAAAGTCAGTTGCACAATAAGATTAGCTATGCACTTGAAAATTGAGCGACCTTCATTTCTAGTTTATCGCCAACTATGCCGATGCTGCGTCTTTGAATCAATTAAAATAAACTGCGAATTTTAATTTTAATTAATTAAAATAAACGTGCAATTCAGCTGAAACCGCGTAGATGGATACTTTTGTGTTGTTCTTACACTTACAGCCTCGCCTTTTAATGAAGTAAGCAGTTAATTAGATTTGCGATAAACGAGTGAGTAATTTGCTCCCCGGCGTGAGACATCGTTTATTTCAAATTTTGCAAAATGTGACGAGACATTTGCGCTGTTTTGCAATGCTTTAGAAAGTACAGTTCGGGCGGTGTTACGATTAGTCGCGGTTTAGAAAGTACGACAAAAGGCGGACTGGTCACGACTGCAGGCCGGAACGCCTCTACAACGCAACACGATATCGTTATCGACTGTTTTCGTTATTGCAAAACGCGCGATTTGTGAAATTACACGCACGATACGTGAACGCGCACGAGACGCGTATTACATGATGCACAGCACGACTGACAAACCTCCTGGGCACTTAAAAAAAAAAAGAGAACCGAAAGGATATGCAGTGAGCATGTCAGATTCTAAGACAACTGAAGACAAGATCAAAGATCAATCATGTTTCGGCGATAAAATAAAGATAAAATAACTTCCTCTTTCTCCCTCGACGCTCTCTTTACTTTTCTGACGGGTCATTTTAAACGGTGTTTGTATACCTCGCATTATTACCATCTAATAAAAAAAAACACAATACATAATCCGGATACTAAAAAAAAAATTGTACTGTATACTCTCACGAGGCTAATCGACGGGGTATTGCGTTGTAATAGATTGCTTCCAAATTAGTGACGACCATCACTCATTATCGTCGTTGTTTCCGAGTCTTATAATTTAGAATGTACGACGCACACTCCTCTTAGCGTGAGCGACTTATCTCTTTTCATGATAAATAATACTGGGCAACAATTTTTAACTTTCCGTTTGCATATTTCCGGTATACTTTTAACTCGAACGTTTTAAGATCAAAAGAAAATAATAAAAGAATTTAGTCTGAAATAATTTTTAAAAAGGCACAGGTCGATCTTCACTCTTTAACCGATATCGCAAAGTTGATGTACAAGTTTTATAACAAATTTGAATCATCCAAATCTTATCATCATCTCCTACTTCTAAAGTATAATGTAATATAATTCATATGTTTTGCTAGTCAAACGGGCTTTATTTCCATCTTTGTTTCACTAAAGTAACTACACTGCAAAAATAATCGTTTCTATTAGTTCACTTGCGTGACATACCGCAATTCTACTTGTAAGATAACATTGTTAACAATGTTTAAAACATAATATTAAGAAAAAGACATTTTCGATAAGATAATACTTTCTCCCAAGTTCCCAACTAAACTAAAGCGAATTCATCCAGGGAACCTGTTTACCTCTCAATAAAAATTACCCTGACAAGGCAATAAAACAATTTCCGCAACGAAACGGCTCTAACAGGGTGGTCTCATCATCAAAATGTTGATCTCAATAACAGTGTTGGCATACTTCTATAAAAATTCGCTGAAAACAATATTAATCTTGAGGGAAAATATATAAAAATCCATTGTTGTGCATTTCTAAGACTGTTACTAGTGGAACATGATGCTTGGTTATATTTGACTTCAGCAAGTTTATAAATTAATAAGTCGTAATTAGTAACTGGTGACTTTAATTTCTGGTGCAAAATGTCTATTGACCAATGTGTACGTAATTGATCGCCGTGCCACGGTAATACAACGATCTTTGTTTGCGCGCCAATTAATCGCGGCAAACTAACGATATCTCACGTCCGATTAGTTCACAAAAGGCGTCATGATCAACCATATGCTCTAAACAGTGGCGTAGCCGCGGCTCGCTATCGTTATATAGGACTCAACTATCACGACGTTTTGTCCCGCCGAATCCGCTGCGCCGTAAAAATGTCACAAGCGCGGGCGACCAGATTCGCGAGGTCACAACATAATGTCAAGAGATTATCCATCGCCTGTAGAAGCGTAGAGCGTAGAGCGAGAGAAAGAGAAATTCATTTCTGTCATAACTGAACTATGAAGTCACAGTTTGCAAGAAAGGTGAGAGAAAGAGAGAGAGAGAGAGAGAAACCGATTAGTGAACGATTGCATAACGAGCTAATTAATCGTGCACTACGACCCGAATTCGGTCGAAATATAAAGTGGTTGAAAGCATTTCGTAATATCTCGCTTGAGGATACTCGTTTAGCAGGCAACCTTCTACCCGATAATCGTAATTCTAGCGTTCAAATAGCTAATTTTAAATTAGTCGTTCAGAACGGTAAAATCGAACTCGTTCGTTTATTTGAATAATCGATCCCTCTCGAATCTCCTTTCGAGGTTCTGCGAACTTCAAGTTATCATACAATATATATATACACACACGGACAAATATCATTTTACTGATAAGCTGAAAGTTTTACAGTAATATTGCATGCAAGTTTTATAATATTTTTATGAAGAGCATAAAAATTCTTCTTTGGAATATATGATAATGAACTTTTCTAAAATATGCGATGAAAGTCGAATGATTCACGTATCTCCGAACACATCGAAACGTTACTTTCTTTGGACCTTTTGCGATCACGAACGTCATCACGTCGCAGCATTCAAAATTATCGATTCATTGTCGCGTGGAAATTGGCGATTACGTCGAGCGACATATCACTCGAATCACTCTAATCGAGTCCGATCGAATTAATACTTAATGTATCCCCGGCTAAGAACGGGAAGGAGAGACGGCGAGAGGGCCGGAAAGAGCAAGGGGTAATGAGCGGATGAAGGAGAAAGTGGTACGTGTCCATGATCGTGCGAAATAAAATACATCCTAGACGTGCTCGATAATTGCATCCGCCGAGAAACCTGTCTCCCCGGGCGCCGACGACGGGTGCAACCGGTTCCCGCCGAATTTACCTCGGCGCTTTGGACCGGCCCTTCGCCGCTCATGTCGCAAACCGGTCCAGGAAGCGTAATGACGACTTGGAATTCCGCGAGAAGAGACGCGTCGCGGTAATGTAGTCGAGATAACTCGCTTCCCAAAGGGACCCCGAAGGAGAGGTGCTCGTAAAAATGTTTGCAATAGGACGCCTTCTCGGCGGATGGCTGATGTAACTGTCTATCAGAGAGGCGAGACATAGTCTCCTTTCACTTTAAGCTTCGCGATAGGGCGGCTGTCCGCGCGACAGCGAAGGTGGAGAGAAGGGAAACTCTATTTTTCTCTCCTGTCTTCTTAGTGTTAATTGTCTATCTATTATACGTGTGGCGTAGTTGACTCGCACGAAGACAGCCGTAAAATAACTTGTTTAGTCCTATATACGCATTTCGACCGAAGGTTGACGACGTCTCGATGCTTTCCTATATAACTTTCAACTGCGACTTCTCAACGACTTTTCAATGTCGTGTTTCTAAATTCATGTTAATGAGATTTCACATTTATAGTAGTCGATTTCAGATGAAAATTACCTCGATCAACTCAATCATCATT